CCACTGTCCACCCTATCTAATCCTCTGATCATCTTGTATGTCTCTATCAAGTCACCTCTTAACCTTCTTCTCTCTAACGAAAACAGCCTCAAGACCCTCAGCCTTTCCTCATAAGACCTTCCCTCCATACCAGGCAACATCCTGGTAAATCTCCTCTGCACCCTTTCCAATGCTTCCACATCCTTCCTATAATGCGGTGACCAGAACTGTACGCAATACTCCAAGTGCGGCCGCACCAGAGTTTTGTACAGCTGCAACATGACCTCATGGCTCCGAAACTCAATCCCTCTACCAATAAAACCTAACATACTGTACGCCTTCTTAACAACGCTATCAACCTGGGTGGCAACTTTCAGTGATCTATGCACATGGACACCGAGATCTTTCTGCTCATCCACACTACCAAGAATCTTACCATTAGCCCAGTACTCTGTATTCCTGTTACTCCTTCCAAAGTGAATCACCTCACACTTTTCCGCATTAAACTCCATTTGCCACCTCTCAGCCCAGCTCTGCAGCTTATCTATGTCCCTCTGTAACCTGCAACATCCTTCCGCACTATCCACAACTCCACCGACTTTAGTGTCATCCGCAAATTTACTAACCCATCCTTCTACGCCCTCATCCAGGTCATTTATAAAAACGACAAACAGCAGTGGCCCCAAAACAGATCCTTGAGGTACACCACTAGTAACTGAACTCCAGGATGAACATTTCCCATCAACCACCACGCTCTGTCTTCTTACAGCCAAACCGCTAAACCACCCTCAAATCCCATGCCTCCGTATTTTCTGCAATAGCCTACCACGGGGAACCTTATCAAATGCTTTACTGAAATCCATATACACCACATCAACCGCTTTACCCTCATCTACCTGTTTGGTCACCTTCTCAAAGAACTCAATAAGGTTTGTGAGGCACGACCTACCCTTCACAAAACCGTGTTGACTATCCCTAATCAAATTATTCCTTTCTAGATGATTATAAATCCTATCTCTTATAATCCTTTCCAACACTTTACCCACAACCGAAGTTAAGGCTCACTGGTCTATAATTACCAGGGTTGTCTCTACTCCCCTTCTTGAACAAGGGGACTACATTTGCTAGTCTCCAGTCTTCTGGCACTATTCCTGTAGACAATGACGACATAAAGATCAAAACCAAAGGCTCTGCAATCTCCTCCCTAGCTTCCCAGAGAATCCTAGGATAAATCCCATCTGGCCCAGGGGACTTATCTATTTTCACACTTTCCAGAATTGCTAACACCTCCTCCTTATGAACCTCAATCCCATCTAGTCTAATACCCTGTATCTCAGTATTCTCCTCGACAACATTGTCTTTTTCCTGTGTGAATACTGACAAAAATATGCATTTAGTGCCTCTCCTATCTCTTCAGACTCCACGCACAACTTCCCACTACTGTCCTTGACTGGCCGTAATCTTACTCTAGTCATTCTTTTATTCCTGACATACCTATAGAAAGCTTTAGGGTTTTCCTTGATCCTACCTGCTAAAGACTTCTCATGTCCCCTCCTGGCTCTTCTTAGCTCTTTCTTTAGGTCTTTCCTGGCTAACTTGTAACTCTCAAGCGCCCTAACTGAGCCTTCACGCCTTATCTCTACATAAGCCTCCTTCTTCCTCTTGACAAGGGATTCAACTTCTTTAGTAAACCATGGTTCACTCGCTCGACCAGTTCCTCCCTGCCTGACAGGTACGTACTTCTCAAGGACACGCAGTAGCTGTTCCTTGAACTTATACTTATACTTATTCCTTACAATTATTAAAATAATTATATGGAAAACAAGTAACCAATCTGTTCAGAGATGTTTTAATACATCTCACAAATAGGTGGGACTCGATTCTGGATCTCTAGCCTTCTGATGCAATCACTGCATCCCAACAGCCATCTTGCGCCCCATAATCTCCCATTTTGGTTTTCACCCAATGAGCCTGTCAATAATATATAAACATACGTTCCAGTTCCAACATCCCCACCAGACCCTCCGTAATAAGAGGTAGCTAACTAGCCAAACGAATACCGAACAGACACGACAGGTAGAATGGCCTCTTGCTTCCTCTGTTCCACAGTTTGCTTCCTCAGACCTAGCAGAAAGGAGGGACCAAGATGGGAAAACAGTGAGTGTGCAGGTCGGAAGTTAAATGGCATTGTGGTAATGTCACTGGACTGGTAATCTACAACTCCAGGCTAACACTCTGATCACATGGGCTTGAAGCCAACTGTGACAGATGATTCAAACGTGAAATCAACAAAATATGGAACTTAAAAAACTAGTCTTACGACAGCAGCAAAACTATCGCCAATGGTCTTAAAAAACCCACCTGGTTCACCATGATCCATCACTCTTTAGGATTGAGTCAGTAAATGCGGAGCTGGAAAAGCACAGCAGGGTCAGACAGCATCTGAGGAGCAGGGAAGTCAATGTTTCGGGCCGAAAACCTTCATCGGGAATAAATAGAGGGAGGCAGGTGGGGGAGGGGTGTGTGTGTGTGTGGTGGTGGGGGTACGTGGGATGGAGATAGAAGGATGCAGGTAGGGGGTTATTGTGGTTGATCAGTGGGAAGAATGGAGCAGATAGGTGAGACAGAAGATGGACAGGTTGGGGGTGGAGAGATTTTGAAGCTGGTGAAGGTCAATATTCAGACTATTGGGCTGTAAGCTCCCAGGGTGAAATATGAGGTGTTGTTCCTCCAGTTTATGTTTGGCCTCACACTGACAGTGGAGGAGGCCAAGGATGGACATGTCACCAGGGGAGTGGATGGTAATTGGAAGGTTGGGTTGGTTGGTGCGTGCAGCGCGCAGGTGCTCTGTGAACAAGTCCCCGAGTCTGCATTTGATCTCCCCAATATGCAGGAGACTACATCGGGAGCAACGGATATAGTAGATGAGGTTAGATGAAGCGCAGGTGGATCTCTGCTGGAAGGACTGTTTAGGGTCTTGGGCAGAGCTGAGGGGGGAGGTGTGGGGGCAGATGTAGCACCTCCTGCAGTTGCAGGGAAAGGTACTGGGTATGGCGGAGGGGTCGGTGGTGAGTGTGGACCGTGAAGATGATGAGGGAGTCACAGAGTAAATGATCCCTGCGGAAAACGGACAAGGGTGGGGAAGGAAACATCTTTTTGGTGGTGGGGTCCAATTGGAGGTGGCAGAAATGTCAGAGGATGACGCGTTGCATTTGGAGGTTGGTGAGTGGTATGTGAGGACTAAGGAGACTCTATCCTTATTGATGGGAGGAGAGGGTTTGAGGGCATCCTTAATAACAGAGGAGGAGAAATTACAGTCCCTAAAGTAGGAGGATGTCAGGGAAGTCCTACAGTAGAACGCCTCATCCTCAGAGCAGATGCGGTGATGGAGCTGAAGGCATTGAGAGTATGGGATAGCATGTTTGCAGGAGGGTGGGTGAGAGGAGGTGTAGCCGACGTAATCATGGGAGTCAGTGGGTTAGGATTGGTCATCCTTACTCCATCTGGACTGCATGTGATATTTTCTGTCTTCAGAAATGGCCTAGTAAGGCACTCTATTTGAGGGCAAATAGGAATGGGTGACAAGAGCTGGCCTTGCCAGGGAGGTTCACATTCCATGCATCTCCCTCCCAGTCCTACCCTTCAAAGCTGCTACAAAAACCTCTGTAAAAGTGAGACAGTGACAAGCCCTGAAAGACGGTAGCAGAGCTTTCACAGTATCTTCAGACCAAATATCCTCTTGCGCAGAAGTGTTTATCAAGAAGGATTAAAGCAACTCACTCCAGACCAACCTGTCTGCTAGAGCCAAATCACCAAATTAAAACTGGACCGTACAGCCTTGAACTGAACTCCCAGGCAGCCATTTGCTTCATTGCAAACAACTGAACAGATAATGTTAAAAAAAATAATAAATTGGGCTACAGGTAGATTGCCTTCCAAATCAAATCATAACTAATGCTCATGTTAAATATGTAAAATGAAAAATCAGACAGGGCACAAAAATAGATTTGGGCTGGTTACTGCAAACGTCCAGAAGGCCAGTCCTAGTTGGGACTTTCAATCTTGCAGCAACACACCAATCAGATCTCAACGCACTGTAAAAACAATTTGTTCACAGGATATGAAGCAAAGATTTCTGTCTATCCTCCGTTGCCCTCGAGGAGCTGGTGGTGGAGAGCTGCTTTCTTGAATACAACCTAGAACAGATTGCAACCAACCCCACCGGCTCGGCGAGCATGTCTACAACCTAATACAACTGACATTCCGCTCAGCAATTTCAGGGGGTAGTCAAGAGTCAGCTACATTACTTCGTGTCTGGAGTCATATGTAGGCTAGATCAGGTAAGGGCAGCAGATTTTCTTCTCTATAAGAGTGAATCACACTGGGTTTTATGACAATCAAGTGGTGACATTGTCACAAACGTCACTACTAGTACCTTTTATTCCAAATTTTAAGTAACTGAATTTAAACTCCCCAGTTTTGAAGCTGCTGCCAGATTATTAGCCTGGCAACATAACCACTCTGCAGTTGCGCTCCTTGGATATAGGAGAACTTTTAAGATGCATTGTGCAGAAGCAACTGGACATAACGAGCAGCAAACTACCATATTTTCATCCAAACGAATCCAGAGAACAGAACTCCCAGCATCACAAGCTCTCTGTCATCTCCAAGTACAGCAAACTTTGTTTTAACCAGCCCTTTACAAACTGGCAGAAATTATATACCTCATACACTAGGTTTATTGTATTTTCACGATCTCTGAGTAGTCAGTTGAGGGTGCAAGTGAGAAGACTCTCTGCCATTAAGATTTATAAGGCAAAGATGTATCATTATTGATTTATGCTGTAATTAAAGTCTTACAGTGACGTGCACACTCCCTGCATTACGTTTCTGTTACTCAGTGTATGCTTTTACAATGATTATGTGGACCTCTTGATTATCCAGAATATTTCATCAACTAGCCCACTCCTGGTCCCATAGATGCTGGTTGATAAAAGGTGTGCTGCACCTGAAGAGAAATGTTCATCATTTGGACCAACTGATTGCGAATCGAATGGAATGCTATTCTGTAGGATTTTCTTGAGCATCTCTGCATCCGTTACACACTTCCAGCTGCTTTTACATTTCTTTGTTAGATCAATATTTGCAGGAGGCACTAGGAACAGGAATTTCAAAATTAAACTGCAATCACATTATATCGATCCGTTGACTTCACTTTCCCAAAAAGAGTGCAGGTGGTGGGTGGTGGTGGTGGTGGTGGAGGGTTTAGTTTAGAAATCATAAAAGTTCATCAATTCAGTGCCAGAAGCCAGAATCAAAAGTCAAAGAAACAACCGATTGCTCAGTACAAGGGGCACCGCCTCGTGGGCAAACCAGAGTGACAGGATTTTCAGTGCAAGGAAATCTCACCGCAGAGGGGAAAGAACAGGACAGGAATAGGCCACAGCCCCAAACTCAACAAGTACACCATAGAGAAGACATGTGTAGCCACCATTTCGAATCAGTAAAGCTGAACAGCTGGCTGCAGACACGAAAACTTGATAAGACATATGGTCAGCTTAAAATAAAAAGTGGAACATAAACTCACGTTAAATGTCATTTTGCTGGAAGCAGCATTTTAAAAGTGACTCAAAAACCCACAAATACAGTTTCACAGACACTCAGATGAATGTTCTGAAGGCATGTAATGGCCCTGAGCCATTCTGCATGAGGAACGGGAAACTTTTAAAAACCCTCTTCGTCTGGAGCACTCCCTGGGCAAGGTTACAAAACCTGGAATGCTCTCATGTCTTAACATTCACAGCGAGAGGGAAAACAAAGTGTTGTTTACACGTCCTACTTGCGGAGTAATGTGTGCTTCAAGAATGTATGCATTGTCAAGATGACACCGAAAATCTATTTAAATTTCTACAGAACACAAAGCAACTGTTAAGGTTGTAAACAGCCATCTACTGAAGGTGTGCCCCCTGGATAGAGTTTGAGTGGTGTGCCCCTAATCTGTGTGTTTTGGTTCAAGGGGTCATTTGGGACTTTTTGCAACGCCAAACGTTTAATTTACAAAATTAGTAGCCGAGGTGAACCTCCCTCCTCCACAAAAAGCTTACCAGATGCACTCACCTGGATGAAGGTGACGTTATTGGGGAACTCGGCCACACAGCGATCCACAGCCACGGGTGGGGCAGCGATCGGGCCCTTGCACTTGGTCAGCGACAGCGGGAAGCGCCTCTTCACCTGCCCATCGCCCTGCGACGGCAGCATGTCCTGCGACAGGAAATGGCGGATGTTCTGTCGGGCCGTGTGGATGAGGCTACCGTCAATGTCGATTCCCACAATGCGCGAGGGCTTCAAGTCTTTGGCGATGCTGAGCGTCAGGTGGCCCGCGTTGCAGCCCAGGTCCAAGATGTCCTTGCCCTGGAACCACTCAGGCTTGAAGAAGCTGAGCCGGGGGTCCTCACAGCGGCCCGGGTTACGGTAGCCGTAGTACTTGGTGTAGTTGCCATACTGGAACCGCTTCTGTTTGCTCTGGAAGTTGGGCTGGGCCTTGCCGTCGCGGTACAGGCTGGAGTGGCGCTGGAAGCTGTGTTGCTGCTGGTGATGGTGGTGGTGAGATGCCTTGCCTTTCGTCTTCTCTGGCGTTGGCTTCTTGGCATCCGCGCCTGGCAGCCTCGGCTCTTCCTCCGAGCTGGTCGGGATCTTGCCCAGCTCGGACTTGCTGGCGGTCCGGCGCCGCTTGCGATGCCGGCTTCCAGTCGGGGCTTGCTCGGAGCCGCGGAGGACAGGCGACACAATCTCGTCCCTGCAGTTGATGAGGGTGTTGAGCTCGTAGGGCTGTGGGCCCTCAGGCTCAGACGGCACCTCGGAGGTCCCCGGCCCCACGCTTGTCCCTGCCGGGTTATGGCCCACAGGGCAGTCCCGGGTGCTGGGGTCCAGCGGCAGAACTTGGTTCCTCTCTGCCGATTCGGCGGTGGCGGCAGACTGGGGTGGCTGGCCAGGCTGGTGGTGGTAATGCCGGTGTCGCCTCTTGCGGCCCAGCTTGAGGGGCGATGGCAGGACCTCGGAGTCATTGTTGAGGTTGAGCGGGTCGGTGATGTCCTTGGGGATGAGGATCTCTACCGGGTCGCGGTTCCGGCTGGGCAGAGGCGAGGACTTGGGGGTCTCGGCGTTGAGAGCCTTGTTGACGTCCTCGTCCAGCAGGCTGTTGAGGTTGAGCGGGTCGAAGATGTTACCGCCCAGCAGGAAGTTGCTGGGCAGCACCGGGTCGCAGTCCGAGTTGGCGCGGCGCCTCCTCTTGAACCCGGGGTGCTTGAAGCCCACGTTCAGGCTATTCCTCCGTTTGAAGGCCCTCTGCTGCTGCAAGGGCTGGAGTCCATTCCTCGGCCGGCTCAGCTCCGCCACGCTCTCATCCTCGTCTTTGGTGCCAGGGGACAGGGCGACCTCCTCGCTGACAGGCGTCAGCACCCTGCCCGGGTGGCAGTGCAGCTCCTCGACCCCCATGGCGGACAGGTACTCGGGCTTCAGGAGGGTCACCTCCCTGACAGAATCTTCCTCGACCGACGCTGCCATCAGATGGCATGGGGAGCCCCTCGGCCACGGGGGGTGGTTGCTGGCGTGTGGGTCGCCCCGGCTCTCTGACCTGGCGCTCTCTCCTGCGATAGCGCCCCCACCGTTTGCCCAGTGCAGCAGCAGCACCTTCCCAAGCACCAGGGGCTGAGTGAGCCCTTCCCCACTTCCCCTCCCCCCTCCCAAGTTGCAACCAGTCCACGACGTCGCCGTTACGCACTCTAACGGAATCCCACGTCGCCCGTGACGTCAGCGCGTCTCATCAGCATAAATGAATTATTCATATTCTGGGACCTTAGCGAACAATCAACTCACCCCCCCCCCCCCCCACACCCCCTCACCACCAACCTTCACGGGTTTTGTTTATCGACTCCCCGCTTCTACCCCTCCCCCCAAACCCAGTCCCTTCTATCCTCCACCTGACCGAAAAATCCAAAATGGCAACTTTAAAGCCTCGATTGTCAAGTTTGTGGAACTTAAAGCGGAAATATATCCGCAAGCGACGAACCGTGCTTATTCATTCGGTGGAAGTCACACGGTTGCTTTTCACACCACCACCACCCCCTTCCCTTTCGATTCGAACTCCTCCCCGCATCCACTTTTTTTTTAAAAAAATTAAAATCACTTTTTTTCACCCCCCCCTTTCCTCGCTCACGACCCCTTGGAGCTGCTAAGGCGCACTCGCTGTTTTTTTTCCCTCTCTCTCCCTACCTCCCTTCCCCTGTCCCCTCCCCCCCTTTCTCCCCTTACAGTGCGCTTGCGTCTCCTTTTATAACCAAGCCGGACCGCCCCTCGGCTGATGGACGTCCGTCCCGACCAATCGGCCAGAAGGGGCGCGTGTCGCGCGGCGCACCTCTTCCCGGCCCCGTCCAATCCGGAGACAAGGAATGGGCGGGACTTCACCCACCCTTAGCCCCGCCCCTCCCTCAACCGCTGGAAGGCGGGACACGGAGGTGGGGGAGGGGAGGGCCGGTGAGACGTCCGTCCTCACAGACGGAAAAAAATAGATTTTGTTTTTTAAAAAACAGAAATAAGGTATAATAATTAATATGTAACATCTGAGTTTTGGTTCGACGTGTTTCCCAACTCCAGTAGACGGGGAGAGCCCTCAGGCTCTTCCGTTAAGGCGGGGACGCAAGGTTAATCCCCGCCGTCGTTTGAGGGAGGGAGGGTTGATGGTGTGTACAGGGGTTGTCAATCGTCCATCCCCGATGTAGATTGTTGTTTTTGTTCCCCCTCCCCGCCATCATTCAGGCGCCAGCCGCGGCTCGCCTCCCTCTTTCCGCGCGGCGAAAAACAAACCGACTTTTCAAACGGGAACCGGGGCCGTCACACAGGCTCGGCGTTTACTTCACGGAGGAACGGAGACCCTCAGAGCCAGACCCGCCGGCTGCTGCGGGGGGGGGGGGGGGGGGGGGGGGGGGGTGTTGGAAGAAATCGTTAGAGAAAAAAATTCCGTTTAACGCCCGGGGGCTCTCACGTCGTGTTTTTGTCGGTTTGCGCCCGACTCGACATCCGTTGGCGGTGCTCACGTGACAGTGGCCCGAAGCGGTGCCCAATGGGAGTTGTAGTTTCCCTCCACTTCCACGCCCCACCCCCTCCCCCTCCCCACCCCTTCCTTCCC